GCATTTTGTCTAAGCTCCGCCCCACAGTTACCTGGCAACAGCCAGATATACCTGACTCACTATAAAAGGGGCTGTTTGCCCCCTCTTCTGTCTCTCTCTCTCTCTCTCTCTCTCTCTCTCTCTCTCTCTCTCTCTCTCTCTCTCTCTCTCTCTCTGTGCAGCTGAACTCACAGACCTGATAGAGGAGTGTGCTAAATCTTCATCTGTACCGATTGCTCTGAGGACATAAGAGGGCTCCAATGATGCGGAAGTGCAGGCACTAAGGATGGAGACATGATGCTTTTAGTCCACAGGACACACCAAGGGTCATGCTTCCCTGAAATCACACCAAAGGGACAGAAGAAACAGCCTGGAAATGTCATCGGGCCTGATGATGCCCTGTACATCCTGGGATGTAAACCAAGCTTCTCTGGTCCCTATAGATAACTTCCTGGACTAAGGACACTGTCAACGAGTGAAAGAGTATGACAGCCCACACACTGGACCTGACAAAACAGCCAGAGAAACTTCTGTAGCCAGGGCAGAAAATACAGTATGTAAGCCTGAGGACAGACAAACCCTTGGTGGCTTACATCAAAACTGTTAGCTCAACCCTGCAAAAGACATCTTCACTCAAGCATAGTAGTGAACACCTTTAATCCCAGCACTTAGGAGGCAGAGGCAGGAGGATCTCTGTTACTATGCCAACACTTGGTCTATACAGAGAATTTCAGGATGGCCAGAGCTACATAGAGAGATCTTGTCCCAAAACAAAAAAGTCACCAGTTTCTCTCTAAAGGGAAGCTGCTAGAATGGTAGCATCAGCCCATGGCCATCACCTAAAGTCTGAGCTTAGCCGTGATCAAGAGCTCTTGTCTTAGCCACACCAGGAAGCTCAGTGACACACAGGGTACCTGACAGGCAAGCTAGCGGTGCTGCCACAAATGCCTGTCTACGCCGTCTAACTCACCTCCCTGAGGACAAGGCAACATCCTTGAGTGCCATCAGCAGGCTCTCCCCTTCCACATATGCAAAGGAGAGGTTGATACAGCCTGAAGAAGAGAACACACAATGACAGTGCTCTGGGCCTCAACGTCTGCCAGAATGGAGACTGAGAGCTCAGGTACAGAGTGCCTACCATGAAGGAGACAAGGACAGCCAAAACAAACAAACAAACAAAAAACAAAAACAAAACAAAAAAACAAAAACCCTAGGTTCTGCAGGTAAAGCCCTTGCTGCAAGAGCCTGGTGACCTGGATTCTATCTCTGAAACCTAGGGGAGAGCGGGAAGAGAGAAGTCACTCCACAAGTGGATCATGGAGTCATGGAGGGCATACTCCAGCCTCACATAACAAAGAAAAACGGAACTGGGCACTGTGATGCATGCCTCTAATCCTAGCACTCAGGAGGCAGAGGCAGGTGGACATTCTCTGCATTCAAGGACAACCTGGTCTACAGAGTGAGTTCCAGGACAGCCATGGCTACACAGAGAAACCCTGTCTCACAAAACCAAAATAAATAAATAAATAAATAAAATTTAAAAAGCAGAAAGCAAAGCCGAAGAAGACTGAATGGGCGAGCCATACCAGGGTAGTGCTGTTTCGGGTCCCCGTTCATCACCACATCTGGAAGGTTCTTCATTATCTTCTGTATCAGTCGCTCGGCCAACTTTGAGATTCGCTTATGGTCGTACTGAGAAGGAGGCAGGGGAGAACGAGTACAGTGACCACCAATCAGCTCAGTAAACGGACTCCAGAAGCCCTTCTTCCCTACGCAGGAGTGACTGTGTATCACAGAGGCCCTTCTGTTGACCTGCTCTGTGTGGAGACCACTCTGTCTCCAGCACTGTGCACGGTGTCTGGTGTATAAAAGGTACACAGGTGCTGAACACAGGGTGCCAACAACCTACAGAAAAATGGACTGGTGACTACAAGCAGGGTATGAATGGGTTTTTTTTTTGTTGTTTTTTTTTTTTTTTGGCTTTTTCGAGACAGGGTTTCTCTGTGTAGCCCTAGCTGTCCTGGAACTCACTCTGTAGACCAGGCTAGCCTCGAACTCTTGAACTCAGAAATCCACCTGCCTCTGCCTCCCAAGTGCTGGGATTAAAGGCGTGCGCCACCACCACCCAGCATGAATGGGTTTTGAATCACCTCTTTCAGAACAAGGTGCTGCAGTTCCTTGACAAAGCAGGCTTTCATTTAATTTTGTATGTATGTATGCATGTACATTTTATATTTATTTACAAGGGACTGAAAGCAAGGTCTTGCACATCCTAGGCAAGTACTCTACTACTGATCCAGCCCTCTACTTTTTATTTTGATCCAGAGTCTTGCTATGTAGCCCAGGATGGCCTTGAACTGAAAATTGTTCTGCCGTAGCCTCCCAGGCAACTAGAATCACAAGCATGGGATGTCAGCTGATCAAAGGCAGGATTTCCTTAGACTTCCTCTTCCATCAGAGACCAGACTCATTGACGCTGATACGTCACTAAATGGGGACCTTGCTTGAGGGGAGTGCCAGGGAGTTGGGGGGGGCAGGATACTGCTGTCCCCAATATTTACCTCCATCTCTTGTTGTGCCAATTCACATGCAGCTCCCAGGCCCACCACCAAGGGTGTGGGCACTGTCCCAGACCGCATTCCCCGCTCCTGCCCGCCTCCACTCTGTAGGGCCTCCACACGTACCCGGGGCCTACGGCGGATGTAGATAGCACCGACCCCTTGGGAAAGAAAAGTTGTTAGGAAAAAAAAAAAGAGAGAAACAGAGAGGAAACAAAATATTACTTACTTAAAAAAAATTAAAAATTAAGATATTTCTAGGTCTATAGTTAACTTTTTCTAAATTAAAAAAAAATGGAAGGAAAAGGAGAAATGGAAAAAGCATAATTTGTAGCAAAAGTACTCAGCATAATTATGTTACAGCAAGTATAACATATATTATTGACCAAAATGATTTCAAGCAGGTCTCTCTGCACGATGAAATGACAGCAGTCAATAGAGGGCTATTCTTAAGAGCACAATGATCAGAGACCAGCTGGAGATGCCAGTGGTAACAAGTATATGTTGCTCTTACAGAGGATCTGTGTGTGGTTCCAGTATTCACATCACAGAGCTCACAACAGCCTGGTACTACAGCTCAGGAGACCCAGCACCCTTTGCTCTTGGAGTATTTGCAGAGATCTGTACTTACTTTCATAAAACTCCACACAATAAAAATAATCACAAAACTCCCCAAGAATAAAAAATAAGGTTCAAAAAAATAAAAAAATAAATAAAAAAGAAGAAGAAGAAAGAAGAGGAAGGGGAAGAGAAAGAAGAGGAAGAAGGGGAGGAGGAAGAGGAGGAACAGGAACAGGAGGAGGAGGAAGAAAAGGAGGAGGAAGAGGAAGAAGAGGAGGAGGAGGAAGGGGAAGAGGAGGAGGAAAAAAACCCACTAGGGGCTATAGAGATAGCTCAATGGTTTCCTGCTCTTGCAGAGGACCCAGGTTCGGTTCCCAGAACCCATGTGCAGCTCACACAGCTATAATTCCAGGGGATCCAGTGCCATCTTCTGGTCTTCATGGACACTGCACTCAAACAGTACATTAGATGCATGCAGGCAAGACACTCATACACCTAAAATAAGTAAATCTTAAAGAAAGATTGAAACAACGTGGGTAGGGTGGCAACCATTGGGAGAACGTCAAATGTACTATGGAATGTCCCTACAATGAAATACCAAGCAACTATAGAAGAGACTGACGCTCTTTTTGCTGTCATTATAAAAACTCTAAAATACAGAGCTAGGAGATGGTGAGTCAGGCTTGGTGGCCCATGCCCACAATACAGCACTGGGGAAGGAAGCCAGCCTTGGGTAAAGTACAAAATCCTAAAGAGAGAGAGGGGGAAGGAAGGAGCCTCACCAACTCTATACTGTACTTCTCCTTTGTTTCAGCTTTCTTTTTAGTGTCTCCCATATTCTAGGGAGACCTAGAACTCAGTAAGTGATCAAGAGTAAATTTATTTCTTG